ATTAAAAAAAAAAGTTATTTTATTTATTTATGCATACAAGGACTGCGGTGTAGGCCAGAGGTGCAAGGGGTGAGAGGATTCACCAGAGATAGAGTGGGGAGCAGAACAGGTGGATCGACCAAAAATGGATCGACCAAAAACAATGCTAACGGGAGCAGCAGGCAAGACAGGAGAGGTCTGTGTGCTATGTGGCCAGGGATCAAACTCATACAACTTCAGCTACAGTGGCTGTGGATAGCTTCATAGTGCTTTGCTTTAACCTTTTGCGCCACTGGGAGGTCCAGAATTATACACTTTAAATGGGTGAACTGGAGCCCTCCCAGGTGGCACAGTGGGTTAAAACACAAATTCGGGCCCTCCCTGGTGGCGCAGCGGGTTAAAGCGCAGCACTGAGAATCTGAAGCCACTTCCGCATGAGTTCGATTCCCGCCTGCTGCCTGTCCCGGAGGAGACCACAAGGCGAGCCAGACCTCTCCTGGCCCGCCCGCTGCTTCCCTCAGCAGTGTACTTCGTCGATCTGCCTGTTCTGCTCCCCACTCTGTCTCTGGTGAAGCCTCTCACCGCCCCTGAGCCTCTGGCCTGTACCCCAGTTCTGTATGAATAAATAAATAAATCTTTAAAAAAAAAAAAAAAACACAAATTCGATTCCCGGCCAGGGAGGTGACCCACATGACACAGCAGACCTCTCCTGACTCGCCCACTGATTCCCTCAGCAGTGTAACTTCATCAACCTGCCTGTTCTGTTCCCCTCTCTGTCTCTGGTGAATCATTTGGTGAATCATCTGTCTCTCGTGAATCACCACCCCTGCACCTCTGGCCTGTACCCCAGTTCTGTATGCATAAATATTTTTAAAAATAAGTAAGTGGGTGAACTGTTTGTATCTAAATTACATCTCAATAAAGCTGTTTTAAGAAAAATAAGACAAAAATATGCTATTTCAATATACATTTATTTGATTACTATATTTCTGTTTTAGTCTTACGGCATCCTCCTTTGAAATTGTCCTTTACCTATTTATTAAGGAGGCTTGTTTTCAAAACCTATTTTGAATGAGTTACTTATTAAAGAAGGTAACTCATTATATTTGCTGATAATATATTTCCTGGTGTATTTATACACACATATATAAAAGTTGTAAATTTAGTCTGTATATAGTCAAATTGGTCAGTCTTTTTTTTATATTTATTTATGTATATGCCATGTTGCCTTGCTCACTGTTCAGTTTCCACACTCACTAAATGTTGTCTATTGGTTGCATGAATGAATGAATGGACAGAGTAGTTTAAATATCAAGTACTAACAAAGTATTCAATGTTTATTCAACTTGTCTTCTGCTTATAGTAAAAGTCCTCAGCATTGTGCATCAAAAGTAGGGACATGACTTTACAGAGATCATACCTAAATATATAAATCTATAGGGATAAAAATTCAGATGTGCTCTTTTTTTTTTTAAAGATTTACTTATGCATAGAAGAACTGGGGTGACGACCAGAGGTATGGGGAGAAAGGGAAGTGATGATTCACCAGAGGGAACAGTGGCGATCAGAACAGGCAGACTGACTGAAATACAATGCTGAGGGAAGCAATGGCTGAAATAGCAGAGATCTGCTGCGCCATGTGGGTCATCTTGCTTGAAGGGGATGGAATTTGTGTTGCAGAGGCTGTGGAGAGCTTCACAGTGCTGTACTTTAACCCTTGAGCCACCAGGGAGGGCCCCATAGACAGCAAAAACCTATAAACAACCTGATGTCCCGTGACCAGAGAATGAAGAACATGCAATGGAATACTATATCACCTTCAAAATTAATGAACTAAAGCAATATGTCACTATATGAATCTTAGTAATACAATTTTAAGTAAAAATCATAAGTCCCCCCAAAATTACATATAACAATGTTCCTTTGTAAGGTAAAAATATGACTAAAATTCAAAAAATAAAAATTTAAGAACTTATATAGCAAAGGTAAATACATTTTAAAAATTGAAAGAATGATGGATTCCTTGAGAGAAGAATGAGATAGAGATAGACCATAGATTTCAGTTATTGCCAAGCTCCTAGCTTTCATATTGACTTCTTATGGTAGTATAAGTAAAAAAAAATGTGTGTGCCATGCATGGAACATTTATAAGAATGCTTCATGAACCAAGATTATGAATTTAATTCTGTGCACTCTTAAAGGCAAGGGAAAGAAATCATGAATAGCTCCTTCAGGCAGGCTTACTTGTTTGGGGGTGGTGGAGAAAAGATTTTTCTATCCCTCCCTTCTCTGTTTGCAAAGACTGCTTCTCTCCCCCTGCATTTTGAAAGGACCAGTTTATTAGGAAAGGGAGAAAAGAGGCCTGCATAGACACAGACAGGCAGAGAGCTGCTATGGAGATGCATTTGAAAAGAAAACGTTTTTTAAAAACGTTCGTTTAAAAACGTCTGTGCCCGCATAGACACAGGTGAATAGTTTTGAGACAAGAACTACCCCAAGACTGCCTGTAGTTTTTCTTCCTTAGAGTTGAGCTGGTGGCACACACGTGGGGTCGGAGGGAGGGGAATAATGCAGGGTTTAGTTACGTCAGGAAAAGTCCCAGAATGTATGAGGAAATGTTCTCTTCTGAGGCTGCAAGAAGAATCTGGAGGAATGGTTCAGCTTCCATTCCCATTCAGCTTCCCCCACTTGACAGGCTAAGACTGCAGGGTGTGTAGTCTCCCACACATTTCCTGTTCAGCTTCATCAAAGACCTCAAGAGGGGTGGGGAGGATACTCAGCACTCAGCAAAGGGTTAGAAGAGAATCGTTCTGTGGCCTCAATTGTAAGCATGGTGGGTACCAGGGAGCTTGGGTGAGTAGAGGCAAAAGAAGTTATCTTTGAAATTAAGTCAAGGATTATGGGGCTGCTGTCTCCAAAATTTTAACACACCCCTTTCCTTTCTACCTAGCCCAAAACATACCTAGGCAATTCTCAGAGAGCCTCCTGCCCCTCATCCTGTGCCTTTTCCTTCTTCATTGGGCTGTAGCTCCTAATTCTGTACCTTCACCTCTACTTCTTCCCCAAGATAACTAAATTTGTGAAAAAGGGAGTGAGTGGAGATCTAGGAGAGCAACTTAGGACTTTTCACCATAGTGAGAGGGGTTTGAGGTCACATGGAACTGGACATACTTTAGGCTGCAGTCTAACCAGTTAGAGATAATGCTGAACTAGTCTGGGACAGCAAACAGGGAAGGAGCTCAGGTCAGCCAAGCAGAAGCTTTGCGGTTCAGAGCTTGTGTGGGGTACAAGACTAAACTGAAACAAGCATCCTGGGTGTTCATCTGCACCTAGAAATATAGAGCATGAGGATATGAAAACCTCTCTCCCTTCCCTGACCTCAACAATTCCTCCCAACCAAGAGCCTTCCCCAGAGGGGCTGCTGGGACAAACAGGGAGGAACCAGATCTGGGGCTCCAGAGGAAGTCGCTGGTCATTATGTTTCCTGAGCTCAAAAAATGGATTCCCGTCACTCAGGCCCACTCCCTTCATCCAGGCAGGACAGAGACTAGGCCTGGCAATCTACTTCTTCCGTTGGTACCTGCCTCTTCTAAAACACAAAAGATGTGAACCACAAAAGTCCAATTCAGTCACACCATTAGCCAGCATCCCACAACCCAACACAATCTCACCTGACGACGTCATTCAATAACATACCCCCACTGAGGCACACCCCTACTCACATCCAGCAAGCAAGCCTTCTCTTTGCTCAACATTGTATCACCAGGAGCTAGACTAGGGCCTGGTACTTGGAAAGGGCTCAGTGAATACTAGTTGACTGAATGAATCCACCAAGACATATATAAACATGTTTACAAGTCCAAGTATGTATTTATACATGTATGCACCCATACATACCCCCCCACAAAGCCTCTCCCAGCTCAAAAGTCATATATACATATACGCATACAATAAAGAAGACCAGATGTATACCCACTGCCAGACTCACTGCCGTGTTACCACTCAGCACTCCCAGGGTGACTTGGTGGTAGTAGCTAGCTGTTGTCTCCTTCAGTGAAGTCTGCAGTGTGTCAGTGTGTGTATACATGTGCAAATGCAGATTTTGGAGCTTTGAATTCTTGAGATTCTGGAGCAATGAAAAGGGGCTGGGCTGGCAGCAGAATTAGGACAAAGTAATTTCATGAATAAGATGGGAAGTGACATGTAGTTCCCTTCAGTGGGGAGATGAGGGTTACAGGTACAGGTCTGAAATCTTACTTCTCATCTGGAGACCTGGGTAGAATGGTTTGAAGCCTCAGCTGTGAGGGAAGTTAGGTAGAAGGCTATGTAGGTGCTCAGACCCAATTTCCAATCACAGCAAGGCTTGTGATCTTGCCAATCTTCTCTAATGGAGTGAGGGTCAGGAACCTGGGGTAGTAATTACTATGTAGAAAGGAATCTGAAAAGCAGGATTCCTCATTTTTCTGTGGAGCTTAAGGTACCCTCCTCTCTCCATGATCCTATCAAATCACAATTTGCTGTTCTTTTACTTGCAGGTCCGGGCATCTTCTACCATAGAGCTCAGCTGGGCTGGTAGTCTGGGGGACTGGGTAGGGGTGTAAAACTCACTGACAAAAGCAGCAGTCCCCCAGGCATTCAAAAAGCTCCAAACTTCTCCAATCCATCCTAGGTGGGGACCTCTTCCCCACCTCCCTCAACAGGGTAAGACAGAGCTGTCAGTTCCGGAACCCTACCTCAGGAAGACCACCTGTCTTCAGTGTATGACTCAGAGTCAGTGGTATAACTCTTTGGGGTAAGGAACAGCAGTGTTAAGGGGAGGGCAGGCTGGGAAAATAAACATTTGAGGGAGGTAGTTGAGCTTCGGCCACCTGAGGCACACCAGAGTGCTGAAGAGAGATGGGAGTGAAAGGGAGTCTAATTCACACCTCTTCTCCAATGACTGGTTTGGAGGACTACAGGAAGGAGGGGGAAACGTTCCTTGGACAGAATCATTATTAGGCATCAATGACCAGCCAGGACACTCTCAAACCAAAAAGTCTCTTTATTGATTGGTACCATACATGACTCAAATGGCAAAGAAAAAAAAAAGGCATTACAGTTGGGGGTGGACATCCATCTTTCCCACCCCTTCCCTCAGCGCCCGACACAATCCTCTTCTAACAGTGGCAGCTGGAGTGGAGGAAACGGCGCAGAGGAACCCCAGAATCCAGAAGGAAGGGTGGGGAGAGGTGGTGCTAACACTTCTGGAACTGGCCACAGGAAAAGGCAGTGAAGCCAGAGCTGGGCCCAGATACATGGGATCCTGCTCTTGGCATCACCCTGGGCTTGGTGCCTCTGTGGGTCCAACTGAAGTGGAGCTGAGGATCCTGGCTGTCACTCCTTCCCTTCTAGGAGGAAGGGGAGGGAAGGGATATGGGGAGATGAAGACTAATTCAGCTGGAGGACAGAGGCCTTATTGCTCCCTGGTGGGTTTCGCTGGGGCATCCTCAGGGGCTCCTTCCCCACCACTGAGGAAAAGGGGGGACAGATGTGCAGTTTGAGTGGCTGGAGGAAGAGTACTGGAGAGAGTGAATGAAACCCTCCCCCACCCCATGCCTGCCCAACCTAAACAAACAAATAAAAAAACAAAACAAAACAAAACAAAACACAGTGACAAACAATGGCTGTTCCCTTCCTTCCACACTCCCTAAGGGAGGGGCTTTCCCCTCCCCCTATCCAGGACAGCTGCTCTAGGAGAGAATATACACACCGTGGAGGGAGGGCGTGAGGGGTGTCTAGGGCTGGGACAAGAGGGAGTCACAAGCACTAAGAGGGCAGGTGAGTTCCAGAGAACAGGGAGACAGAGACAGGGGGGCTGTCATCAAGGGGAGGTCATCAATTGCCCTCTACCCCCACGGGATGCCACCCCCAACTCGTCTCCCCAAAGGAAAAGGAAAGAGATGGCAAAGTGTCTCCTTGGTCTGAAGTTCTCAAACTGTATGAAACTGTATGCATACCCCCTGCCCTCCCTCACTCCCCTCCACCTGGGTCCTAAGACCCTCCCCCCATCTGCCAATTAGGGAGGTAGCTGGACTTTTAATAAGGGGCAAAGGGGGGACATGGTTTTTTTAAACTTACATTTTTAATAATATTATTTTTTTTAAAAACTTGGAGCTGGAATAGGTGGCAGAAGGGAGGAGCCCAGAGCTGTACCCCTCTACAACCAGCCACCTACAGGGAAGGTTTGAGGGAGGGGCACTCAACCAAGCCCCATACCAAGTCCCTAAGGGCTGTGGGTATAGACAACCCCAGGCTTGAAGGGGGTGGACTCAGGAGGATGGGGAACCCAGAACCTGGGAAGATGGAGGCAAATGCCCTGGGGAGTGGTCAGGACACTTCTCAGAGGACCAGGGTCCACATGAGCATCCACATGAGTAACCCCTCCCCCCAAAGGCTCTGCAGAGGCCAGGCCCAGCTCAGGGCCACTGGGGGGGCAAATCTTGGCACCTGCCCCCAGAGAGTCCAGTTCCTCCCTGAAGTGGGTAGATGGGAGGCTACCCACTATAGATAGATAGATGCTCAGTCTCTTCATTCTGTCTTCTGCTCCCTGGGGCTGCGAGGGGTGGGGCAGGCAGGCAGAGTGCTGGGTGGCCGTGGTGAGGCCTCTATTGGGAGGCCTGTGACGTGGGATTCTCTGATTTGCTCTCTTGGCTGGATGGAGGCTTGCTGTTCCAGGGGCTGTTGGCGCCCAGGGCAGGGGAGTTGTTAAAGCTGTCCTCGTCGTCAATGCCGTTGGCCGCGTCAAACTGGGTGTTCTCCAGCCGGGTGATGAGCCTCTCGTCCTCGTCCCCGAACTCCCCGCCCATCAGGGTGGGCTCCCCCACCACCATCACATCCTGAGAGTGGCGGAGGTCCCCAAACATAATCGGGGCAGGGGCTCGCCCAGCCCAGGGCGGCAGATACCCCCAGAGTCCCGATACCCACCCAGGTAACTCAACACCCCCAACCCCTCCTTATACCCAAATTAAAAAATCCCAAATCCTCTGACACTCTTAGCCCCTGGAATTCTTCCCACTGAAGGACTGCAGTCTTTAACCCATGCTCTAGATTCTGGGAGAAGTCCATCTAGTCCCCTAGCTCTCTCTAGTCCTATCTCCCCTAAATTTTAGGGGGCTCCCAAACTTTTGTCCACATGTAGAGAAAAGAAGCAATTAAAAACACCAAGGGGACAAGTGTGTGCAAGTGCATATGCATGTAGTCTAGACTGGCACACATTCAAGTCTGTGTGTTCCTCTGTCAGTGTGAGTGCATGTCTCTGACAGGCTGGTGTCTACGAGCTGTCTGTCCTGTCCATCTGTATGCTCTCATGGCTATCTCTGTCACTTACATGTCCTACCTTGTCACGTGTCTGAATCTGTGATTACAGCCATGCACGTGACTGACAAGGACTCTCATCAGTGACAGGCGTCAGCCCATGCTGCAGAGTACACTGGGAAAATCTCTTTGCTTCTATGCCTGCTAGTGAGCTCAGGCTAGGACAGGGTCAAGGGTCAGGGGGCAGCAGTGGGGCAGCCCAGAAGAGAGAAGAAAGCCGAGATGCTTACAGGTACCTGGCTGGAGAGGGCGAAGGTGCTGGCTGGGCTTTTCTTCTTGCTGTTGCTGTTGTTGGTGTTGCCACCCCCCGAGCTCATGGTGCTGCCCCCTGACATCTTCCGTTTCCGCCGTTTGCTGGGCTGCTGCCGTGCAGGCTCCGCTATGCCAGGGAAAGGAGACTCAGGTGGGGGCAGAGCCCTGGGACCCTTGTTCCCCCCATCCTGTCTCCTAAGGAGCCTGAGCCTACCCTGATCCCAACCTTTCAGACCTAAGAGCGAGGAAGGACTTCTCACAGGAGAGAGACTGCATCAGATGGCTGTAAGAGCAAGTGAAAGGCACTCACCAGGGGGCGCTACCATGCGCTGCCACTTCTGAAAAAGGCAGGTCTTGAGGCAGTCACGGGGGCTGAGGCTGTAGGTCTTGTGGCGGGACATGAGCTCCTGCATGGGCTCAAGTATCACACAGAGCTAGGAGTAGACCAGGAGGTGGCTTGTCAGGAGAGGTGTGGAGCTTAGACCAATGGAATGGGGTGGAAACTGAGTGGTTGAAGACTCACTCGGAGGTAGTTGAGAGTGGAATTGGACAGCCCACATCTGGTGATGTTTTTGGAGAGCTGATCCAACATCTGGGGGTCCTGGGCCTGGAAGGGGAGAAAGGTAAGAATACTAGCACCTGGCCCTTCCTGGTGGCGCAGCGGGTTAAAGCATAGCACTGAGAATCTAAAGCCGCTTCCGCACCAGTTCGATTCCCGCCTGCCCCGGAGGTGACCACATGGCGCGGCAGACCTCTCCTGACCCGCCCGCTGCTCCCCTCAGCAGTGTACTTCGTCGATCTGCCTGTTCTGCTCCCCACTCTGTCTCTGGTGAAGCCTCTCGCCGCCCCTGAGCCTCTGGCCTGTACCCCAGTTCTGTATGCACAAATAAATAAATCTTTAAAAAAAAAAAAAAAAGAATACTAGCACCTGGGTTGAATCTGCTCACCTGTCCTATTAGCCAAGCGTCATGGCACTTTTTTTTTAAAGGCTTATTTTTATTTATTTATGAATACAAGAACTGGGGTATAGGCGAGAGGTAAGGGGTTGAGAAGACTCACAGAGAGAGTGGGAAGAGCAGGCAGATCTACTAAAACACACTGCTGAGGGAAGCAGTGGTCAGGTCAGGTAGAGGTCAGCTGTGCCATGTGGGTCACCTCCCTGGGGATCAAGCTCATGCCGCAGTGGCTGGTGACAGCTTGATAGCACTGAGACTTGAACCCATGCACCACTAGGGAGGCACACATCATGACATTCTTGAGAGAAGATAGGCTATTATGAGACCCGTCTTGATGGAGAAATGCTCATCCTCTAAGGTCTCAGGAAAGGCAGACTTTATCCCACCCTTCCCACTAGCTCATCACTCTAGGTCTTGGATCCTGCCCACAACTCACATGCATGGCAAGGATACTGCGTGGGATGAGCTCCCGGTGCTGCCGGATGCTGAAGTGCCACGTCTTTATCCGCATCATGTCATCAAACATGAATTCCAGGTACAACCGGCCCTCCACACACACCTGAAGACAAGCTTGTTAACAATTCTGTCCCAATTTATCTGAAAGTGGTCCTGCTGCAATTCTCCTATGTACTCTTAACTCTCCCATCACACACACTGTCACCTGCACAAAAATCTGGGTGCATAACTGACAAGAGTAGCCCCTCACATACCTGTCTGTCTCTCTCTCACATACATACACACCAGAAATGCTTACTAGATTGCTAGCCTCTCATGTAGGTAGTGGCAGTTTCGTCTGCTATAAGCTCCATGAGGGCAAGCTCCTGTTCACTGATTACCTCGGGTCCCGGAAAACTCTAAACGTTTGTGGATGTGAAAGCATGCCTGCCCTCCCTTCTCACTTTGCCACTTCCCATTATGCTTCCGAGGGAACAGCTGAGTACATGTTGGGAGCAAGAAGGGGAAGCAAATCCAGGTGCTTCAGCATTTCACTTCCAGTTGGGTTGCTGACCTGGGTGAACATGGGTTTGCCATGCTGCGTCACCATGCTGCCCTGGTCACAGTCGAGAGACACAAAGTTGCTGTGGAATGCCTCCTTGGGGTGCTTAAGCACATAGTACAGCTCCGTAGCACCCCCCTCAAAGATGCTGCGAAAGTAGCGTGGGATCAGGGTCCGGCCAATGGCTGCAGAGATCAGACAAACTCTTCAGATCAGAAGGACTCAAAAGGGTTCAGGCAGATGTCAGCCCTACCAAGAGATTCCCTGGGACAGACACCAACTCCCAGATCTTAGAAGGACACAGTAGGTATACACCCTCACAGCAGAACTGACAGGACCCCCAGAGGTCACTCACTATATCTCTTTGGTCCATCCTCCAGGCAGAAAGTAATGGTTAACATGGCATCATCCTCAAAGAACTCAGTTGTGAAAGCATCCCACCAGAGATTGTCACATTCCTGGGGAGTACAAGGGAGGTTACAAACATGCCTGAAGACATCCTACAGGGGTGCCCAGATGGACCCTACCGAGCCCCTTGGCCTGGCCATACCTCTGTCCAGTTTTGAAGCCGTTTGTTAAGCTCAAATATTCTGTAGTCAGTTTGGTTGCCATATGGTGTATGCCTCCTGGGGGAAGTAAGAGAGCTAGGTCAGTAGAAGCAGAGCCCCAACACCCTCCACCCCAAGCTTCTGCCTCCACTTATATAATGGAAAGCACCTTCCTCCCCCCTGGACTCCACTTACCCAATCCCAGGCTCCAAGTATGTAGGCGGGTACATGGGAGTCGGGCTGTGTAAGGAAAGAGGCTATGAGAAAGGTGGTAGAAGACAGGAATTATGAGAGGGTATCACCCCCTCCTTTTTTCCTTTTTCAGGCAGGATCCCATCCCATCTGGAGAAGGGATGGGAAGTAGACAAGAGACTCACCCCACATCCCGATCTAGCATGGTGCCGGGATGGAAGGGAGGGAAGGCGTTGCCGTTCGGGGGCTCCTTCGGTGAGTACAGCTTGAATGACTTTGAGGAACAACCTAGAAAGGAAAGGAAGAAGGGTCCCTTGAGGCCCTTTGGGAGCTTTGCTAATAGCCAGCTAGACTGTGTGGGCTCCTATCTTACAGAGCCCAGGGAGTGAGCGGAGCAGGGGAGAACGACGACCTAGGAAGCATCTAGCTCCGTTTCTATATCTGGCTCCAATCTTGTATTACCGAGAAACTAAAAGTACTCAGTCCTAATGCCTAGGATCCCATTTCTTTTTGTGGCTGAGCCCTGCATGATAGAAGAGGAAGTGAAGTAGGGGGAAAATGTCAATACTACAGAATAAATATCCAAACATCAGAACTTAATTTTGATAAACTCCTTTTCACCCACATCATTTTGTATAATCATCACCACCTTGTGAAGTGGCAGTGTCAGTAGTAACATTCCCATTTTTGTGTCCAGGTAGGGCAAATGAAAGTTCAAGGGGATTTGTCAAATTCATAGGACTAGTTAACTGGCAGAGCTAGGACTTGAGCCCAGATCTTCTGATTCCTATGTCCTCCAATTTCTAGCTCTCTGTTTTGCAATCTGGAAACCAAGGTAGAGGAGAAGAAAAAGGGGGCTTTTGCCAAGTCCCTGCCCCTCCTTCACTCCCAAAGGCCAAGGAGGACAGGGGATAGAAAGATAAAGGGGGGTGGGTGCCGCCCACCAGATAACCAGTTGGGCCTGTAGCTCCCCCAACAACGGCCACCCCTTTATCAGCCTAATCCCCTCCCCCACACCCACCAGGAATAAAGTATTGTCTCCAAATCAGAAACCGCAAGCCCCCAACCTTGAACTCTTTTTTGAGGCCTGCTGTGAGTAAGGGAGGCACACAGGTCTCCACTGCATCCCCTCTACTTACAAGTGGAAAATAGGAAGCCTAAGAAGGTGCCCGGGGTCCAGGGGGATCAGTTTAAGAGGCAAGTGGGAAACCAGAGAGGTCTCCGCCTGTGTGTCGACACACATGCGGATGTATGCCTTCTCCCACCTACTCTGCAGTGTAGTCACACTGCTCCGTGACTGGAAGAAGAGCTACATTCCCTACCAGAAGGGGAAACCGAGTCACAGCTCCAAAGGTATTGACCCCAGTTATATTTCCTTCTTCAGCCCCCCCAAACTTGACTGTATTTGGGAATAATGGTTTGGCTATATCTGAGCCCCCTCCCCAATTTACATACAAAATCTATTTTGTTCCTTGAGAGGAAGAGACAAAGGAAGACCCTGTGCCAACATGTGTCATTTAACTCTCTCCCCAGGGCCCATTCCTCACAGTTTGGGCAAAAGGAAGGTCCCAGAGGGGCCTATACTACACAGTCCCTGAAGGTGCCAAGAGTCAGCCTGTGTGTGCCTGCACACACGTGTGTCTCATCCTGCCTAGCAGGCTTCCACCCTCAGCTCGCCCAAACATGCCTGCCAAGGGTTGGAACCCAGCAGCCCCAGGCAGGATCAGAGTGCCCACAACAGGCCCTCACCCTGTGCATGAGCTCTCAGACATCCACATGCTCTCAGTGCAGCACCGACAGACTTGACACACCTGTCTGGACTGAATGAGCAGCCTGTGTCCTCCATAAAGAGACAGTCCCACCCAGTCCCCAAGCCTGCCCACTCCCTAGACAGGCAGGCCACAGTCACACAGGAGGCCGAAGCTCACACAGTCCACCAGATGCCAGGTCTAACCAACAAACCCAAGAGTCTAGACTATCAGACCTGGCCCCTATCCTCAGGAGAACAACCCTTTCCTCAAAAATCTCACTGCCCCCACCCCTGCTGCCCTGCCCACCTCCCCCTTTCAGAGTTGTTGGAAGAGTTTTTCAGTTCAAGACCTTAAAAAGAAAGGATGCTGGACACCTGGGTTCCACTCTGAAAGAAAGTTTTGAGCTTTAATTTCTCTCAGCAAACACAGCCTGGGGCTGTTCTGAGGAGCTAAAGTTCAAAGCTCTGGGACCTCTACTTACATCTCCAGTGAATGGACACAAATACACAGAGCATCTCTCCAGAGCCACAGCAACTCCCAGAAGCCCCAGCCCAAGGGCTTGGGAGTGAGAAGAGAAGGGGAGGGAACATCACCCAGACCATCTGTCCCTGCTGCTGCAGGTCCCCAGCAGCAGGGGTGGAGGGAGCAAGGTGGGGGTGGGGGTTAAAAGATGTGTCATCCAGCCCGGGAGGTGGACGTAGGCCCCCTCCCACCTCAGCAATCTGGGAGTCCTAGAGGAAGAGCCCACAACTAGTAAAGTTTCTCAGGAAGGAAGCTGCACCTGGGGTGGAGGGGCGCACCTCCAGCTGGGCATTTCCATGGTAACCAGCCTGACCTGAGGGCAAGGCCCCTCCCTGTGGGGGAAGACCACAGGTCTGCAGGCCAGAGCTCCCTGGCCTCCAGCTAGGGCACCTCTCCGCAGCCATCATACCAGGCCGGAATCAGGCCCAACACCTTCCACCCACCCCCAACAGACTTGCAGGGTGCTCAGACTTACCTGGGAGAACTGAGGGGACCAGGAGAGGTGTGGGGAGCAGCTGGATGCCCAGAGGGGCCCTGGCGGGGTTGAGGACTGAGGGGGGGCCAACTTCAGCCGCTCATGTCCCAAGTGGGACAGGCAGGCCTGGCTGAAAGCCCCACTCTGCCGGCCGCACAAAGACTCGCACGCACAGCCTGCGCCCGCCCCGCGGCCACCACAGTCCCGGGGGAAAGTTACAATGGCCACTGGGCCGGGGGCCTGGGGCCAGGGGGCCGGCCTGGGGGGCGGGGGGCCGCGGGGAGTCCGGAGCCTTCTTTGTTTGCAAGGTTTCCCTCAACAATGGCTGCTCCGCTCTTTCCTCTCTCCTCCTCCTCCTCGGTTCTCCCCGTCACCGCCTCTTGCTGCCTCTGCCTCCAAGCAGCCCGCCCGCCCTCCCCAGGCCGCCGGGCTCCTCTGCTGGGCACCAGGAGAGGCAGGCCCGGCACTCACACTCACTCACACACGCGCGCGCGCGCACACACAGACACACGCAGCGGCCGCCGGCTCCCTTCCTTTTCTCCCTTTCTCTCCCTCCCCGCTCGCTCTCTCCGAGCCTCTCTCAGAATGAGGCCCCAGGGCGGGCGGAGGGTGGAGCTGCCCCCACCGGCCCCGCCCCCTCCCTGCGAGGGAAGAGGAAGAGGGAGAGAGGGAGGGAGGGAGAGAGGCAGGCAGGCTGGGAGGGCTGCTGAGAAAAACAAAAGAGAGACAGAGACTGGGAGACACAGGGGGCTGAGAGATGGGGACACAACAGATCCGGTTGGTAGCTGCCGGGAGAGAGGGGAGGCCTGTGGGGGCCAGGACATGGGAGTGCCCCCAGCCCCAGGTGTGGTGCTCAAGGGTAAACGGGGAACCAAAATCACAGACAGGGATGCAGGAAGAGGCTCTCCTCTGGAGACTCCCCGAATCTTCCAACCACCTCCCAAACCTACCCCAAATCTCCTCTCCCCTGTGGATTGTCAGGGTGAAGGCCAGCCTAGGCAGTCACCCTGGGCTCAGCCCGGGTAAAAATCCCAGAGAAGCTGGGGGGAGGTTCCAGGGGGTTATCTTAGACAGAGACACTGTTCAGTCTGCAAACACACTGAAGGTGGGGGTGGGGGGGCGCGCTCCAGGCTCCCAGTCCCCAGTTCAGTTAAGTTCTAAGTCCTGTCTTAGACAGGTCCACGCAGAAGCTCCTTTCCCCACCACCACCATTGGAGAGACACGTGGGTGACGGGCAAAGAGGGGCTGTCAGAGCTAGGGAAGGGTTTTGCCCATTCAAGGGCTTTCTGAAGAGGTCTAGTTGCTGCTTAGTCCTCCCCCAGCCCAGGAAAAAAGGTATGTGGTTACTGGGGTTGTGCCCATATTACAGTCCTACTTGGACAGGCAGGAACAGGAAAGGCAACACAGAAACACACTGGTGGGGGGGGGGGTGAGAGAAGGGGAAGAGACAGCAGATCTACTTTGCAACTTGAGTCTGCTCCCTGTTCTCTGCCCCCCATCATATTTACACAGTCCACAACAGAATTTCTGTGGCATACATACCAGTGACTGTGTAATAATATCACACCTTGTTCTGTGACCGTCCTCCACACATAAATAACATCTCACTTTTACAGAAATCAGTACCCGACACACACTTCAACCTGTGACATACCTTAATCCCTAAATAAACACAAATTTAGTACATACACACACACACAATCTGTATCAGACCCTGAATTCCTTCTATACTGGGACCTGTTACATGCACGAACCCTGATCCCGATATACACACTGAAATAGCATATATCCCCTGAACCTGTGATATACACACCCTGGCCAGTTGTTACCCAGAGTCTTACCCATAAACCACCCTGCCTGAAAAGAACAGCATTCTCCATGACAGTTTGGTCATGTGATATACCCCAGCTTTCACAAACACATAGAAATCGATGACATTCAGCCTGCAACATACCGCCTACCACTAGGACTTGAGCAGTTCCCAATGACCCCCTAATTTTTCAGCCCAACTTTAGAATTAACTACTCTCCTCCCCAACTGCGGGCAATTCCAGTCATTTGTGCCTTTAAACTTTCCAAAGTGCATCCATAGGCAATATTTGAGGAGATCCATACAATGCACAGGGTCAAATATTACCCTAACTTGAGCACATCTCAGTGACACAGGGTCTGAAGCTGGAACCCTAGACAACCCAGACCTGGGGCACTACAGCCAATCCTATTCCCTTCCTCCTCTGAGGAAAGGATACTTCAGCCCCAGCAACAGTCTATTTGGGGAGGAGGGATGGGTGTGCGCTCAGGCTTCTGCCTCTAGCACAGAGCTCACTCAGAGCCTTGCACCCAGTCTCTTCAAATTTTGGGTAGAAGTGTTTAAATACCAAGAGGCATCAAAACTCTGACATAGCATTCAAAATGGCCTGGCTCCTAGATACCTTTCTCTGGCAAAAATACACCTCTCAGTTCTGACTTTATTTCCACAATTGCTCAGGGACTGCAGTCCAGTTAAGGAGAACAAGTCTGAGTTAGAAGACCCTTAAGTTGGGGGTGTGGGGGAGAGCAGGGAGCAGCAAAAAATGACAAAGGTGATGAGGGAAAGAAAGGGGAAGTACCCCTCCCGATGGTGGGAACACTGAAGGGCAGCAGCCTGCCACAGCCCACTGGATAAGGTAACCAGGATTGCCCCCTGCCTGGGCCCCTGGGGCTCCCTGACCCAGGCCTCCAGTGTGCCTGCCCCCCTTCCTTTGTCTGTGCCCGGCCTCCCGTTGGCCTGGCGCTCTGCCATCCTCCTCTCCTGGCTCCCAGCCGCCACCACTGCTGCCTCTTCCCCTCCCCCTACTCCTCCCTGCCTTAACCCTTCTGAGCCACATGCTGCCCCAGACAGGCCCTGGCCCCCTCAGCAACCTGCCCAGGGTGATACCCTTTAGCAGAGGTCCTCCCTGCTCCAGACCAAAGCCCCAGAAGTTATTCCCCACCAGAGGAGCACTATGGAGCTAGGTGTGCATTTATGTGTGTATCTTGTGGTGTTTCCTTCCGCGTGTGCATGTGTATGGGTCTGCGTGTGCTCTAGCTTCCCTCAGTCACATGTGTGGGGCATGTGCTGTCTCTGCTGGGCTGGGGGAGGAGGAGGAGCCGGGAGACAGCAGAGCACAAAGGAGAGACTCAGACAGGCAAGCAGGCAGCAGGCAGGCAGCCTGCCAGGGTGCCTGGGGCCCCCACCCCAGGGTTGCTCAAGGTTGGGGGGGGGTGTCTTTGGGCCTCAACTGTACATGCTGCCAGGAGACCCTTGTGTTCAGCCATGTGCTCCCACCCATCTACATAAGCTTCCTCACTCCAATGCCTACCATTCCCCACCCCCAAGCCACTGTCAAGCCCCTCCTCATGTGGTTCTCCTTGAAGTCTAACCTCTATCCATGTCTGTGCTATCAATCCACAAATTCTTCACATTCACAAAGAAAAATGACTCCCCACATTTAGCTATCTTTTGACCCCTCATTGCCAACCAGGCCACCAGACACACAAAAGGAACATACCTCTGGGGTGTTGATTAAAGTTGCACCCCCCCACACACACACACAGCCCTAGACGTGTGTGTGCCCTTTTCCTGTCCCCAAGCTGCCCCTACAGTGACTTCCTCTCTTCTCCACTGGCCCAGGCTCCCTGGTGCAAACTCTCATCTACTGCCAGCCTGACAACCCCTCCAAACCCACTATTCCTACCCACGATTCGTAGGAACTAAGAATCAAAATATAAGACTCAGTTCTCTAGCTTATTCGGAACCTTAGTTTCTGCTCTGCTCCCAGTAATGGAGGATCAGGGCATTGGGGTGGACGCAGCCCCGGCATGGGGCAGTTATGAAGGAGAAACTACACACACAAGCGTGCACACCAGGAGGAGGATGGGACCAGGCAGGATTCCAGCTTGGCAAGTTCTTTCCCCTCCTTTTCTTCCCCACCCTGCAGTGGGAGCCAGGAGTTCCCACACCCGGATATTCCAGGATCCCCAGCCTCACTCTGGGCCCCTTGCCCCTTAAACATCAGTCTCAGCAGGCTCTGTAAGTGTGTGCCCAGCCCAGCTTGGCCTGGGTCACATGATTTTCAAGGAAGCTGGTGGTGGCTTCCCCTGGGGATTTTGTGCCCACGTGAAGGGGGCGGAGGTCCAGTTGCGGGGCATGGGTCTCCAGAGAACAGGTTATCTAGAACAGGGCAAAAGTTTCAAACCAGACTAGATTCAGGGACACTCACTTTCAGAAGAAAAGGAACTGCAGTCTGGAACAGGAAGGGGTTCTACAGACAACTGCGGGATCCAGGGCCCTGGGCACAGGGATGTGCATGCCTCTGAAGAGGACCTTCGAGGCACCTGGCCCTCTCTCCTCCTAGCAATGAGGTAGAACTTTCCTGTGCCCCAGAAAAGAACTCTCAGACCCAGCCTGTCACTGGCAAGAGCTGATACCTGTTTGGGAGAGGCAAGGCTCAGAGCTTAAGTTTTCACTGAGGGTCAAACCTTGATCCCCTCAACTAAACTCTCACAAATCACTTATTTTCCAAGTTGCCACATCCCCCCTCCCACTGGGGTGGAGATGCCAAACCCAAGGGCCCAATTATCTGTGCCCCCCCACACACACCCAGGAGTATCTCCAGTCCCTCAGGAGAGCCAACCTTCCCTGGCAACAAGCAGAGAAATTTGGAGGGGGGCAAGATGGGCCTCAGTCAATCCCTCCCCCCAAAAACAAGGTCCTCAGAAACAACTCGGAGGGAGGTGTCACAGGCTATATGAGAGGGAACGGGCAGCAGACAAGGGGGGGGCAACCCAAACCATCCAATCACAACTCTATGATGACCTGAGGGGGGGGTCAAAAGTCCAGAGTCACTTCTGATTGGCTAACACCCTGGAATTCTGGGAATTTCTGCCCCCCCAACCTTTCCCCAACTAGCCTCCCCCCAAAACATACGCTAACCCCAGCACAACCCCCCCTCGCGGCCTCTGGGCTGCTGCGCATTTACACAGTTGGGGAAAACCCTCAGACTGAGGCCCCGCATGTCTCCTACAGCCACCGACCTCCGCCAGGCCATCGACGACGCCCTCCCCCCGCCAAGTACTAGCCAAACAAGGGGTGAGGGATCTGCGGGGAGCGCTAGGGAGGGAGGGGCCGGTGCCGCGCTCTACTCACCAGGACAGGCACAGCCCACTGACATCTTCACATCGCCCGCCGCTGGGGGCCCAGCCGAGTCACGGTGCCCGCCCCGCGCGGGGACAGGCCGGGCAT